TTAACCATTTCAAAACTATATAGGGCATCGGTATTTTTTATTTGCCAATTCTGCAACTATTGCAGTCTAAACCATAATCTTCCGAATAACCGAGGTCCAAGGAGAGCTTTTAGGCACTACTTACACCACTTCTCCCAACTTAACCCCATTTATACTAATTTCCTTTGGTATAGCCATGACCTAATCAACTTCAGTCAGCATTCCCAATGATCAGAGCCCCTATCAATTTTGCGCCACTATCAAAATCTCTGCTGAAGTCAAGGTACACAAAATCACAAACCTTATCACTATTTCCTCAACTATGCAACCTAATCCATGAACATTTAGTAATAAAACTATGCGACTCTTGTATCTAGTCATGTTTATCAAAAAGAGAAAAGAATTGGCACTTGCAATGGTAGATTCTAGTAACTTTCCTCACAATAGACTAAGCTAATTGGTCACTAACTTAAGCGTTAAAGTTAACTCAAAATTTTACTTTAAAACTTGCTATATTAGGAACTTTCCACGACCGGCCTTTACCCGACATAATTAAATTGGTTAAAAACGGTATATTAAATGCAGTAAAACTACGGTAAATGCAATATGATACTTTTTTTTTTATCTTTATTTAAAAAAATACAATATAAGTTACATATACATAAGTGTTACAAGGCAATTATACATTACAATTCTTAGTGAACAAGCGTTTCAGTAGTACAGAACAAGATCTTTTAGAAAACCCCTATAAACGAGTTACAAAAATTGAAGAATAAACTTACATTAAAATACAGGGGAAAATATTACATTTATATATATTTATATAAAATTCTCAGTAAACCAATTTTCTATATCATCACCGAGCATGAGCCTTAAACCCCAAATATTATACCTGATCCTGCCTCGCAGGAACTTCAATATTTTGTCTACTGAGTAACCTGCCTGCCTATCCACACACAAAAAATGTAATCATAAAGTAACATAATTATTGTATTCCCAATTTTCTTGCATTTTATGTCAATATGAAACATTAAAAACCTCATTAACTCCACTCTAATACTTGGTCCACATAAATATAAACTTGCATTCTTTAAGCATGGGCTGCATAGTAAGTGAACTAAACTAAATATTAAGCACCCTGGCAAACCACTTCGTTCTATTCAATTTATTTAATTACTTTGTCCGGCTAGAATTTTTAGATTAGATTAAAGGAACACCCTCCCTGGTAACGGCTGAACTAGTTAACCAAATACAAATTTTTAGGTAAAATACTTTCATAAAACCCGTCTACTTCCCCCACCAGTAGACTTGTTCAGCCAAAGGCATAATGTAATGTTCCACTTTAGTAAATAAAGACTTAAAAAACACTACCCCATCTGTGTAGTTACCGGTTACCTGACATTCTACGCTTAAAATAACCCATCTATTCCCCATAATTGTTCGATATAACTTACCTCTCACCCGCTGGTCGAGTACACAGCAGTATATATCCTCCTCCATCACTCACCGCGTGAATACTACTTCACTCTGGCCGCAAATTGCCTCAAATCACCTACGTTGTCCATAAACATATATAGAAGAGCAACTGACCGTAACCGATCATCACATAACGTGGGAACATTAGTAGTAATGCTGTCAAAACATAGATGGCGCCAGGACAAACGGTAATTCCTATGGACTCGCCTAGTTATGCGTAGGGAATTGAGCTTCAGCTGTTTGGTCCCGCCCCTCAGCTGTATTCACCTAGTTGTACTCGCCTAATTTGTGCTTGCAGGGGTTGAGCTTTGGTTCTTTGGTCCCGCCTCTCAACCGTCAATCAACAGGTGTACAGGTTCCTGAGCCTATTGGGCTCTATCACATCTACATTTGAAATTGTGTATGGAGTCAGCCTCCACCACATCACTGCTTAATACATTCCATTTGTTAACTACTCTGACACTGAACAAATTCTTTCTAATATCTCTGTGGCTCATTTGGGTACTAAGTTCCCCTTGTTCGTGTTCCACCCGTGTTAAAGAGCTGTCTGAGAGAGTTGCTCTGTCGATCAGTCTGTGCGGGGTCGAAGCTCGGCGATTATTAAAACACATGAATCTTCATTAGAACTTTATATATATCTATGGTAAAGTATTTAAAATGAACCTTATATTTCTATCTTTCTCAACACATACAAAAACATTTGCGTTTATTAACGAATTTACGTGAAATAAGCATTGTTCTGAGAGAGAGTTACTCCGTTGCTCGATCTGTGCGGGATCGGAGCTCGCCGATTAGAAAAATACAAATATCTTCGCTTTAAATACAAATATGCCCATGGTTAGGCATTTAAAATGAAGATTATGTTTCTATCTTTCTTGAGACGTATAAAAATCTTACGTTTATTAACGATTCTGCGTGAAATAAGCATTGTTCTGAGATGAATATTGCGGATTTCCGGCTCTACGACCGATGAAAAATGCAACTTTTATACAACTACAAATATCTTTAGTTTTACTTTAAATTTTGTCCTGAAAGAGTTTTCATATATAGATCCACTTTCTGCCGTTCTTCTGACGTAAAAAGACCTTTGGTTTAATAAGTTATTAAGATGTTTTCAACAATATTACTAGGGCGTTCACCGATTCTAACATGGGCGACCCTTTTGGAAACGCAACACATGGGTTGACCTGATTGATATATGGGTCAGATTCCATTAAGGTTCGGAACATAAATAGCAGCTGCCTCTTATGGGCCATTGGCCTTCCTGCAGTTCTTATTGTCCTCTTTATTACACCTTACTTTCCCTACCTGTAAGATTTTCTTATTCTCACCACTCCTCTGCCTATTTATTGCCTTCTTCTCCTTCCATCATCACAATCGACTTGAGAATGGTCCAGGACGGACTGAAACGTTGTCGTCCCTTCACCTTCTAGTGTGTGGTCTGGTCAACAACGTTTTGTTCCCAGTAGCTGAATCTTAAACAACAACAGGTGGGAAACTGGTTGAGGGGGAAGGGAGTATAGGGACAGGCAGACTGAGTATTTATACACATTAGGCTTATATAGAGGTCCCATCCCCTAGCCCAGTAGGTCAAATAAATGACAACCCCCTCCAGGATGCAAATATCTTGCTGCTAGGTGAACAGAGCATTCGGTCATAGGAAATGCGCCCATCAATTTGTCTCGTCAAGATTCGAACCCAGAATTCTCTATTGCGAGTCAAGAACAAACCCGACTGTGCTACCGGGATCCTTCGTTCATTCGTACGTTGTCTGTCTGTATTACTGGGTCCCGGTAGTACAGACAGAAGGGATCAGGATTTGGGATGGGGCGGGGCGGGGGGAAGGAATGATGCCCAACCACTTGAACGGAGGGAATTGAGCGCTGACCTTCATGAAGCGAAACCATCGCTCTACCATCCAACTCAAGTGGTTGCGGTAGAGAGGGGTTATATATTGGATTGGGTAAATACTGGTTCGGTATCAGGGTTGTTGATTTGTGGAACCAATTACCGCGTAACGTGGTGGAGGTGGGGTCCCTCGATTGTTTCAAGCGCGGGTTGGACATGTATATGACTGGGATTGGGTGGTTATAGATAGGAGCTGCCTCGTATGGGCCAATAGGCCTTCTGCAGTTGCATTTGTTCTTATGTTATCTAAAGGAGAGAAAATTGAAGAGGGGAAATTAAAAGAAAGGGTAGATAGGGAAAGATGAGAAATGGGAGGGATTGGGAGAGGGGGGGGGAAGGGGGAGAGAGAGACATGGACACAGCCGGTTACCCCTGTCTATATCTATAAAAATAAAAAAGTGCCCGTCTGTCTGAGGCTGGAGGAGAAATGATGCTTGATCTTGGCTCACCATGCCTGGAGCTACAGAGCCTGATCTGTCATTACAGATCAACGTGGAGAGGGGGGGTGGGCAGCCTAATTCCCATAGCATAGTGGTAAGACAGTCACCTGGCATTTCAAGAGCGCTCTGGCCTGGGATTGTATCCTGGCCTGGCCGGAGAGTCTTTTCCTGAATACCAATACTTAACTGTAGCCTCTGTTTACCCAACAGTAAAATGGGTACCTGGTTGATAAACAATTTGGCGGGTTGTATTACAGGGTATATTAGCGTTTCGGGCAAGCCCTTAATCCTATGCATACTAGTGGCTGAACTAGAACGTAAGAACTCTTGTATATATAAATAAGCCACATGCCTCATAAGTTTGAGAAGTAAATTTATCATGTGCCTCCTGTTTTAAGTTTAAGCACTGAAGCCAATGTATACCATTAACCAGGGCAGCAAAGAAGGCCAAGCACTTGAATGACACATCCTTTTCTGCACCAGCTAAGTGATGCTCCTCCTTTTCAACAGGAGTCCTACTGCATCGTACCTTTTCCAAAAATGGTACAAACACCTCCCACTCTCCTCTCTACTTCCCAGACAAACTTCTCAAAAGGCAGCCCCTCCAGAGTGGGATCTGGTCCAATGACCTGAACAGGAGCCCTATGTTTGGGTGTTATATGTGCGAAGGAAAGAGAAACAGAGTGGGATGAGGCAACCCCCACTGGCCCCCTCACCATGACAGGATGAAACCCTTGATGGTAGCTCCCTGTACTGGCTGAGTGTGTGCCTTGTGTGTACTTAACGTGTGTTTGCTGGTATGACTCCCTGAGATGCTTCGGCTACCACCTGGTGGTACATTATGTATTGCTATGATAGATGATTGCAATTTGCAAACTACTGTTTGCTCTATCTTTTCCTCTTCTAAGATGCATACTCCATTTTGCTGCCCTCCACTTGACTGCATTGTGTGTGGGGTACCATAGAGCTTCTAAGGGTCAACCCAGAAAACCATTTTTCCACCTGCAAGCTGAAGCACCAAGGGCCAAATCTCCACTTTCATAAACTACACTTGAGTCCTCTAAATTACTAGAACACAGGTGCTCTTTCCCCTTCATCAAGAAAAGGCAGTTTACATGGGTGGGGGGGGGGGGGGGGGTTGAAGGCCAAAGAGCTACAAAATATTATATTACTGCATATAGGATAATAAAACTGATATTCCTGGGATTCATATTTTGTTTATTAGCACTGATGTTAATATATTAAATTATACGAGTACGTGCCGAGTTGTTCTGGTGTTGCTAGTGGGGGGGCTAAAACAGGGATATGGGGCAAGACACATTACTGATGCTGCTGGATATTTGACACTCATAATGTAACCTCTCTCCTCCTCCAGTTCACAGGCTTATCACAAAATTTGCTCCAAAACCTAACCATAACAAGATTTGCTCGATACTTGTTGGTTTGGGCAGAGGCATGACAAATTTAGCCCAAATCTGTGACAGTAAAACATGGCACAAAGCTGCATATACTATTATAGCAGACTGTAAACCACAAATGCTTATGTCTCCTCTCAATAAACAAGTCTACCTTATAAAGGTTTTCAAACAGTCTCTCTCTTATCAAGAGAAACTTGACTGCAAGTGCTTAAATGGATGGGGGAGGATGATGATGATTATAGGGATTTGCATATTGAATTACATGGCAAGTTTACTATAATGCGAATGAAACTAACAGCCAAACAGCACGGCATCATTCATTAGTAAAATTTTCTTATAAAATTATCCAGCTAAGGCACAGGCTCTGTATTCAGTAAAAGGCACCTTACTTTGAGTCATCACAAATTCACTATTAGAACATTTTATAACAAGGACTTATTCAAGTAACCAAAAGCTCAATTAAAAACATAGAAGGGCATCAGGGGTTTGCAATATTGTGTCATTTGGGTAACTAACACCTGTCGAATTAGCAGGCTAATGCATACTACATACACTTACATTATTAGTAACTAATTAAGTACCTCCGTGGGGTCATGGCACATGTCTGTCCTAATCTGCAATTTTTGTATAAAATATAAGTTAAACTGTAGTGTATAATACACATTTAGAGCAAAATACAATTGCTAAGCAGCCTGGGAGCATTCTGCCTTCAGATTCATTACTTCTGTGAGTAAATAACAATAATCAGATCTTTCAATACATGTTGGATTATCATCCATATTATATACATACATGAGAGACCATCTTTATATACGACATACTCCATCTCAAACTTTTATTTACATCTGGAAACTATTTACAGGAGGTCTCTTCTTAGCCATGAGTATTTACACATACTGTATCACTCCAGTGTTACAAGCCAACTAAAGTGTAGTAGGAGAGATGAAGTCAACAAGAAACTGTGAATCTCATTTGTATATAATATTGCAGCAACCTGAGAGCATGTTTGGTATCCTGCTTGTGGCTATATAGTTTTTTAATTTTCATTATGACTGACCCTGAAACTGCACCATGTAGCAATAAAACTATTTAACAAATATTCAGTGAATAGATTTACCAGATTATATTGGTCTCTCATTAGTTGGAAAGGTTTGAATTGTAATAGCAAGCTCAAACAAATGTGAACCAACACAGATACAGCAATGCGTATTGGTCAAATTTCACATAAATGGTACAAGCCGGCTGCTCTACTTGGGTGATAATGCCCCATTTATTATTATTATTATTTATACCAGTTATACTTTCCAGTTGCAAACAATACTACATCAGCTAATAAAGAGTATTTAGATATCAGATCATATGATAAACATTCACAAACACAACAAGTGGCTTAATAACTATTCAAATCAATAAATAAAGTAAGCAATGGTCAATAACATAAGTCCATGCACACTTTCATGACGAGAAACTCACTGTCCATCATAATTAACCCAAGCTACCAGTTGAATTTGGGTTTTTAATATTAGCTGCATTTTTAGGGGTCCTTATTTATCAATTAACCTGCCTTGATAATATACTAATCAATACAAATGTTAGAAAACTAGGATAAAATAGAGATATAAAGATGAGGGTTACAATTTATACAACAGTGGACTAACAGCAAATCACATATTTACGCAGCTTTCATTGCACTTGCAGCGCACTGAAGGGACTCTTTCTAATCGGTGGACAAATCTCGCTGCTATTTATAGCAACATTCATTTATGAATTACATGAGCAATAACCTACTGAAGGAGATTATTTATAGAGCATCAATACAGTATACACTGTGGTATTGAGTAAATGACAGGGATATGGGGTAAAATTCTCACAACACTATACAAATTTAAGGGTATTGACTGGCATAAGGATACATTGTAGGCTTGTCAAATTAACATATGAAAAACTATGCTCTAACTTCAATGTTATTAAAATAACGCTTCACATTTCAACTCTTGCACCTGTTTTCGCTACAGGTATGATGATATACCAGCTTGCTTCAATCTACACATTTGCAGATGAACCAGCTTTTAGCTACTAACCAACCCAAACTTCAGATTTGCTGCCTTCCTACACAGGAATCTTAAGATAAGCCAACCTCAAGCTTGGTTAAAAAAAATTTTTTTTTTTTTTAACCAATCTCAGTAGTACTTTATTGAGAATAGGGAGAGCTTAGATGGGTCGGGTAAAGTTGGCAGGGAAGAGCCCTTTCTCCTGGGTGCCCTCCTTGATCCCGGTCAGCCATCCCTCCTCCTGTTATGGAAATAAAATTTGTAAAAACAAAAAAAAATAGTACAAATAATTTTTTTTAGGTTATTAATTTTTTAAATTCTGCTGGTAGCTTCAACTTTTTAACTCTTAGCCACGTGTGAAATGTTAATTTCGGTGATCCTTTACCAGAATGGCATTGTTGACAATTCAAACAAATTTATTTTAATTTCCAGATAAAATGATGTGCTTTGTAAAATAAATAAGCAAATAAATCTAGGAGCTATAGTCTGACTGCAACATGCTGAGACAGGGTAATTTACTTGAATGTCTAGAAGTACAAAATGCAAAACTTTCTTTGCATAAGTAAACTTTTTTTTCAGCTTTTAGTTTAAATCTATAACCTTTTGTTAAAGTTCCAGGTCTCGAGAAATCTTCTTTATCAAGTTTGTTGATTCTCATTCCTATTTTGTATGTGACCTGGACCATTATCAAGTTGTGTATGAAAGACGAAGGAATGGCCAAAAAATAAGGAAAAAGTGAGGTGAGGAGCAGGTAAGAGTAAGACGAAACATAAGAATATGATGAAAGGTACGAATGGAATGAGGTAAGAATAAGAGGAAGGTAAGAAAAGGGGATAGGCTTAAGTGAGGTCATGTTTGTTAAGAAGGTTAGAGCATTTGAGTACAGTATGTACTTTGAAGGGAAGAGTCGACAGCAACAAAGCCAGGACTAAGATTTATGTTAGGTATGCTGTGTATCAGTCGATTCGACAAGATGGCATTTGTGAAGAGTACAAGCAAGAAAGATTATTTTAGAAGACTAATCTATAGGATGAATAGATTCCTTAATATTACAGAAAAGAGCATTGTTTATGTCTGCAGACTTTACACTTCTTTTGTGTTCCTTAAGTCCGTCATTTACTGTATTGCCAGTTTCATAAACGTATTGGAGAGGACAAGATGAACAGGAAATAGAGTAGACACCAGCAGCATTAGAAGCAGGAAGAGAAGTGTGAACCAGATTACTAGGAAGAGTGTTAGTATGTTGAAAGGTGAGCTCCACATCAAGAGGACAAAGGGTATTAGTGAGATTTGAGTTCCGAAATGAAGGAAAGGCAGAGCACAGTGGTAATAGTGTTGGAAATAGGTTTGGGAAGAAATATATTATGTTTAGCTTGAGAATTAGTACATTTGATAAAATGTAAAGGGTATCCCAGGTTAAAGAAAGATTTGTAAATAAAAGAAATTTCAGAGTCGATAAACTGAGTCACTGGTGTATAAAGCGCGGAGGAAGAGAGACGAGAACACTTGTCTTAACAGAAGGATGGTAGAAAAGAAAAGTGAATTTACATACCACTATGCATGGGTTTGTAGTAAACAGAAAAAGAAACCAGAGCAGTGAATATGAACATCAAAAAACAGAAGGAGGGAGGGAATTAAGGTAGATTCCCATTCAACTTTGAAATTGATAGGAACCAGACTGTTAAGAGAGGAGAGGAAAGGCTGGAAAAGACTAGGGTCATGAGGCCACAGGGAATCAAATTCCCTCCATCCTTTTCTTGACATTTATGTTCACAGCTCTTATGTGAACATAACAGCCAATGACTTGGTAAATAAGGCTCCAGTTACCGATCTCAAATTCGGTAATTAAGGCTCCAGTTACCGATCTCAAATTCGGTAATTAAGGCTCCAGTTACCGATCTCAAATTCGGTCATTAGAACTGGCTGAACGATAAATCAGATGTCCTTAAATCGAGTGAGTACTTTAATTCAATTACAAAAATCTTGTGTACAAGTACATAATAGAGAGTATGATGACAACCCCACTCCTCTACATATCTGAAGGTGTGTGGTAGTTAGCCGGTGATGTAGCAGGTTACTACATAAGCCTAACAATGTATGAATACACTTTGGCTGCCTGTCCCCCGACACAATGAATTACATGTACAGTACTTTTAAAAGCTTGCTTTGTTGCTCTGCTCAAGACATTGGTATTTGTAATATTACATGTTCTCACTTTAATGAACTTTCTTCTATAATTTTCATTTGTTTACACAAAAAGAATAGGTTTATACTGTACATTGAAAATAAATATAAATATGACTGGTTGGCCTAGCTGCAGCTAGTCGTCACCATCACTCCCACATTTTTTGTACAGTGTGATTTTACAATGTTATTTATTGTTTCTCTGTACATGTTCTATTTTTATGATGAAATAGCATTAACAGCCTTGTGCAGTGGAAATATATGAATACTGCAGCAGGAAGACAACTGTTGTGTTAAGAAGGGAGGAGTAGGCAGCACAACCTAATAGTGGTAATAGTGGGTAATAGTAATAATAGTGGTAATAGTAATAATAATGCGTAATAGTGGCTTTAGGCATTGTATGTACTAGCTCTTATCTATAAAGCCAACAAACTTTGTAAAATCTCTTTATGTATGTACCTTTACCTAAATAAAAATTATTATTATTATTATTATAACCATGATGCCCTAATTTATTCAGGTGTGGTGAATAACCTGGATAGCTCCAGGGAGCCCCACCAGAAAAAGGCATTTCATTCCATTTAACACTGGAGTTTTCCAAGTACAATAAGCTACAATTTTTAATTTAACAAATCACTAATTAATTACCTGTTCCTCTGGATCGTCATACTCCACCACCTGGATGGTGTCACCAACTTCGAAGCCAATTTCATCTACATCCTCACGTGTGTACTTGTAGGTTGCACGCACACGGTAGAGCACACCTTGTGGTAGTCCTTCTGTGGTCGCACCTGCCGATACAGATGGCTGTAGTCCTCCATCTTAAACAAAATATTAAAAAATGAAGGTATATAAAGATTAGATTCCATTAACAAAGAAACAAATGGCAATGTTACCAAATTATAGAAGAGACTTATAAGACCGAGTAGGATCATTTATGCGTTAAATTTAAGAACCATTAACATTCACATTGGAAAACGAGCACAAATATGGAAAAGTCGCAACCAACATGTGCAACTTATGGGACCAACCAAACATATGAAATATCATGGTACATGCAACAGCTGAAAAAGAATATGGAGAGATCAATATTTGGGAAGCTTGAGGTGGGAGAGCTACGGTTCAGTGTGGGACTTTAATATATATACTGTGTATTATATATATTATATATATATATATATTATATATATATATATATATAATATAATAATATATATACTATACTATTCATAGTCATTTACCTATTAGTCAATAAAGACACACCCATCCAGTTAGCGCCACACAAGATACATAAACATTCTAGTGCTAGGGTTAATACAACACTTGCTTTGCTGAGGTCTACACAACATTTAACTAAAAAAAAAGATGATTGTTATTTTTAGAAAAAAAAAAAAATTCAATTGAAAGTAATAAATCATTGTCTATACTGTTCAAAAATATTGAAAATTCTAATTAATGAATATCTTTTAGGACACTATTTTCCTATCATTATTTCACTAATACTCGCCACTGAATAATCAAACAAAATATCGGTGTACACATTGCACTCGTATCTTCTAATCCAGTGATTCCCAACCATTTTGGAAATGACCCTATTTTCTAATACTCAAAAGATGCCCTTTGAGAGTTGCAATGCACCAGTTGGGAATCACTGTTCTAATCCACAAGGTCCACAACGTATCTTACACTTATCATCCTGGTCTTACCGTGCCGACAACTACTTTCTCATGTCTATCATCATTCAACACTTTGCTATCTACTGTTAATACACATGTTATAGTAATTTTTCTGGTTGCTTTAATTAGTATATTTCAAAGCCTTTGCAAATCACACAAAATCTGGTCTTCTAGTTTATATATTTTATGATTATAAAGTAATTTTTACATGCCGGAGATTTTCCTGTGCTTCCAACCCGTCACTTAATTGACAAGATAATCATCAACTGATTGCCCACTTCCATAGCAGCACACAGAAAAAGAGGGAAGCAGTATAAGAAATGATGAATAAAGATATATATAAAAAAATAATGACAGCTATACAATCATCATATCTGAACATGCTTCAAAGTACAGTATGACAGAGAACCAGCACCACCACACCATCACTGGAAAATCATTGATAGACACTTCTTTATCAGCTACCCTCGTCAAATTATTGGAGGACACAACATGAAACAAAAAAGAAATCAGATATCCAAGGTCCATTATACAAAGGTGTTAATCATATAATTCTACAATACCAAGTATAAATCTGAGCCAGGATTCACACAGCACATACATGTTCACTTACACAATCTATATCTCTTGCCTCGATCATAGCAGCTTGGTCGGTATTTATTAATCGGTTTATGAGCTCTGAAGTGCTATGAGGATGCTTTCCATTCAATGTCCATAACAAAAATACCAATCTCATGGTGCTCTGGAAATCATAAAATACTTACTGAATACTGTATGAGCTTGGTTATCTGAAGCTCGCTGAGCTGAATATTTGGGTTGTCCGGATAATTTTCTGGCAAAACTTCACCATATCCGGACAGACATTTGGATAACTGGAGATTAGGTTGTGCAAATTTTCCAGAACTATACATCTCAAGATATACATTATCAAACAAGAAGAAGGTAGGCTGAAGTTTACATTTAAATTATATTTTTACTTTATAATGTGGAAATTAAAATTATGTAGGTTGTGGTCAAAAATTGTGAATATGGTTATTTTTGGATTTCTCCGGTAAGAATTCTGCTTATCCAGATATCTGGTTTATCTGGTGAGGGGTCTCTCCCATGTAGTTCAGATAAGCAGCAAGCTTAAGACAGTACAGTACCGACTAAGCTGCCATGATCCGAAGTATGATGTATCATTCTTGAAAGTACACATGTAAATACTTTATGAATTCTCACTCTGGCTACTAGGTCATATATGCCCTAGTAGTCACTAAAAATATGTCAGAGATGTCATCACATTAAACAAAATTAAAAAATTAGCCATGCTATGCACATCACTATAATAATTCTACAAAGTTAATGTTTGTATAATAGAATGTAACTGCTTTATTTGTCCATTCAACATAATAAAAATATTCTTCTCATCTTTTAATAAGAGATATTCACAGTGTAAATTACTTAAATCCTGTACATCTCGTTGCAGGATTTCATTTCACATCTGTGAGACTGCTACTTCACTAACCAGCTGCAATAGTTTCTTAAATTGGTAACTGGGTATCCAAAAAATGAATGAAATTATTTTGATGTGAATGCTTTTTCCTGTGACAAAATTAATTTTATATAAAATTATACACAAGTCAGAGCAAGATGAAAATGATCAAAAACATGTGGAAATTTAGTTGTAGGTGTGAAATAGTTTGAGTACCATTGCACTGGAATTTACTGTAGAGTACTGTGCATAATAACGAAAATTGGACAATGTATAATTAATAAGGACTCGATCGCAACTTGATAATGGTCCAGGAGGGACTGAAATAATGTCGCTTCTCCGCCTTTGGAGTTGTGGTTTGGTCATAATACTGTAGTAACAAATAATGCAGATTAAAATAAATTGTCTTGCAGTAAAATATGAGCAATGCTTCATATGCAGTGAAAAGAGTGCATTTCATATACAATTATACATTACTATAGTAACAAGTTTGCTTTTATCAAATATTTTGACAAACCATATATGTAAGGCACTGAATATTTATGTATTAAGCGACATTTTAGACAATTGTACCTTATTATATAAAATGGTGGAATCACAAAATATTAAGAATAGAACAGTAGCTAGAGAAACTATAGTTCCTTAGTAGTTGTGTTAAGAGAAATGTGTAGAAAATATGATAATGCATCATATCTAAATTAGGGTGCAATAGATATATTAAAGCTACTAATGTTTTATATGCAGAGTTTATTAATAACCAACACATCTTGCAACAATGTAACTTTTCTCCAAGGGCACATAATAAATTATGTCATGGTAGTGTACCATATCTGGTGTCATTTGTCATGGTAGTAATTGCCCAAGTAAATTACTCAGTGATGGTAGTGTTCCATATCTGGTGTTATTTTTATCAGTGTAGTCTACCCTACTTTGTGTCATTTGTCACTGTAGTGTACTCTATCTGGTGTCATGTGTGTCATGGTAGTGCACTTTGTGGTGTCATTTTCCTACACAAACCACATATGACCTAAACTGATGAATGCTTCTAGAAGCAACACACCCCACAGTATGTAAACTCTGTTCACACTTACACTATCTGTAACACAATTTTAATTAAGACAACTTGAACATCAATATTTTTGAAAGTACAAATTGCTCTAAGGTTTGTAGCCACATTCAGCGGGTAAATACAGAAATATCAGTAGTGCTTTCAGAAACTGATGATTTGATTCACGTCCAACTCTGCCCATCAACAGTGTAACGAATCAAGTCTACATTCAAGGACATGGTGTCTTAAAAGTGTCCTTGATTTTAAAAGATAAACATAACCTGCATAAGCCATGCATAATCTACTAGCAAAATGTTAAGTTGCTACATAAGTACCAAATAAATTTGATGGAAAATAAGAAAACTCCCTGAGCCACTGAACTCAAAACATCAAAAACAACTTTACTTAAGAACTTTACTACAAATCTCTACTACAAGCAAGCAATATGCCACCATAGTGTGGCACCTACTGTATGACACCCACCACCATGGTCTGGCACCTACTGTATGACACCATCACCACCATGGCCTGGCACCTACTGCATGACACCACTACCACCATGGTCTGGCACTACTGCATGACACCACCACCACCATGGTCTGGCACCTACTGCATGACACCACCACCACCATGGTCTGGCACCTACTGCATGACACCACCACCACCATGGTCTGGCACCTACTGCATGACACCACCACCACCATGGTCTGGCACCTACTGCATGACACCATCACCAATTATGAGAAGTCTTAACAAAACTGAAGAGCCAAAAATTGGTGATTTCACTGAAAATTGCACAGAGATGTTTGGCCTGTGACCTGACTTGACCGTCTTGTCACTTACCCACAGGGATGTCATAGATCTCTTCCACCTTTTTGTCCAGCTCAGCCAAGGGGGACGTGAAGGAAGGCCCATTACAGAGCGCCGACCCAGCGGCTGGGGAGAGAGAGGGAGCCATATTGCCGGTGTCCCAAGATGCATGGGACGAGTTGGTAACCGTGAGATTGCCAATGGCCGTATTACCATTTGCAGTCTCGACCTCAAAGCTCTCCTCCCCCCCTCCTGCCAGCCTGCTATGTCCCGAGCCTGACACCCATCACACATTAGAATGTTACGTTGGAATGGGACAAACTAATAGTACATCAGAAACTGTAACATGACATAGGAAGGGGAATATTTTGTTAGTTATAAAATGCTTTGAAATAAACATTAATAACTTAAATAGGATGCAGTGGCTTAGTAATGTGAACACACACACACTATATAATATATACAATATAAACCATAGTAAAGCTGAAAATTTGTCCAAATGTTTCTCGTTCATAAACACATCAAAGAATAGGAAGCACAAGAGCACTCAGGCACATGTTCAGTTTTTTTTTTTTTTTTTTTTTTTTGCTACTTGCATTTATATAGGCTTTTTTCATATTATATATATAGTGTGAAAGAATTTGTTTGTGTGATGCATACATACATGCATCACACTCACGTATAATATTCGTTTTCTAGTGAATATTTTCCATTCTATATAAATACATTCTACCATCTAGAGGTGAAGAAACACTAAATCACTTAATCTTTCCATTATATTTCTTTGACATTTCATCAACACTGACATCTTCAGCAATAAATGCTTTGACTCTTAAGGACACAGATATTACAAATTTTGCACATGAAATTAGTACAGTATACCTGTATCCCCTGTGTTAAAACATGTATTCCTGAAGATGGCACATTGTTGACATAACTTAGAAGAAATAAAGTGGAAAGATTAAGTGATTTAGTGTTTCTTCACCCTCTAGATCAGCGATCACCAACCTTTCAGTGGTCACTTATCACCAAATTCATAATTTTAAATCCCACGGACCACTAAGGTGAATCCCACGGTCAACCAAACAAGAAATGATACTACTGTTATGAAAGTCTAACTATTTGATGCCATAAAATATAAGTTAAAGAAAATACAAAATAAATTTTGTCTCGCCGACCACAGGTTGGCGACCGCTGCTCTACATGGAAGAATGTATTTATGTACAATGTTAAGTATTCATAAGAAAATTAACAATAGTCACATGTGTGTTTTGTTCACATGTTTTGTAGGCTCATATTTCTCTAATAATTTACATATTATTAATGATATTTCTAAGGCTTTCACATCCAGTTACAAAGCTTCTATTATGCAAATAATTTTGTTAAAAGGCTGATTTCTCAGCATCATTGGCAAATCTTTTATTAATGAAAATGAATGTGTGTATGTGTTTTGGATTAGGGGCAACAATTGCATTAAAACATCTGTCAAAGTCAGATTTTGACTACTATCCCAGATTGGCCATTGTGTTATCGAGCTACTGCATTATCGTCACTCTCACTGATAACTAATCCTCCAACACTATCATGTTACACTGTCTTTAGAATGTTTTAAGACAGGCACTCATAATCTGAGGAAGGTTAAGAAAGGTTTGAATATGGGCAAAAATATATACAGTATACTGTGTACTGCCGCTCAAACTGACTCTGCTCAAATCACCTCTGTCGACTTACATTTTAGTTATTTGTTGATATAAAACCTTGCTACAATATACCTTTTCATCTTACCTGATACTATGTTAATTAAGGACCTGCCCAAAATATCCATTGGGTAAATTAGATTTTATGATTTATTAATTATATTTAATTATACATAGGTATACTAATAAGAACTTTTTATGAATGCGGGGACAGTATATTTCGTCAATGAGTTGTTGGAAGTCGTGGAACTCGACGAGTTCCAGTCCAAATATACCTGCCTGTTTGGCCTGAAAATTTATGAAAATTACGAGTGCATCTGATGTTCCTCATATTTTTCAATGGGAGAAAAAGCTTTTGGTACAATTGATATTCCAAAGGAATGAGTTCTAATGAGTTCTGTTCAGGCAGGAGTACACAGCATTTTAATACTGTACTGTATACAGTATAGTATTAATAAATGATGATTGGAATATTGCAATTAAGGCACAACATATATATATATATATATATATACCATTCATAAATCACTCAAATATGAGGAAATCTATAATACAGTATATACAGTAATACTTTTCAGTTGCCTTACCTGTATTAGCTAAAATTTAGCAAATGGTATGACCAGTTGACTTATTAACAGCGCTGCTTGTATTAGCAGTGACATAATATATTTGGAAATATAAAATCATGACGTAACAATTTTTACATACGCAACATATTCAGTTTTATTACTGTAGTAATTTGAAACACATTTAAGCATATTGTACAAATCATTTTTGGAATGTTCCTTCATTGCTTCCATAAATCTCTAAAATACCTTCCTTAAGATAAACAAACATGAACAAACTTGAATTAATAAGTTCTCATCCTGTTTGTCCATACTTTGTTTACAGCCAACATTGTATATTTTGAAAAATATAACCTAAATTTTCCAATTACACTTTGTACAACAAAGAAGGCATCTGAAATTCAATTGTATTGTTACCCATGAAATAAATATACAACTAGTCAATAAGATTAGAATCTGGTGATTAAGAGTAAAACATTTTTCTAAAGCCCTTTGTAAAGTTGGATGGAGGTACACATGATTGAAATTTATTGTGATAGATAGTGATAGATATAGTACAGTGACAGATGTACACAAATTAAATTGACCTTAAAGGGGACAGGAAGTCAGTGGCTTGTTGAAGGTCTCTCTATTCTTTTTGAGGATCTCTTCCAACTGGATATCCATTTGAATGAATATACATTTAGATACAAATATGGATGGAGATTTCCCATTTCCCACTGTCCAGAACAGGGTACATGTTAGGCTTAGTGAGGTCCCGGACCATGGGCCAATAATTGACCTACATCATACCATGTAAATTTGGTTTACTGTCAGTATAATAACATGTTTATTAACCACTTAACTGCGCCAACCGAGAAAACTTTTTTTTTTTTTTCGTACCCATTCTAAATGTGTGCGAGGTTGGTTGTGTACGAAATGGATTCTTAAGACCTCGGAGCAGTGAGAGGCAGCCATCATGGAAAAAAATCCCAGAATGCCCTAGAGGTGCTGGCTGGGTTAGTACTAAGTGAGCAACCATGGGTGGTGCATGCGCCTCTGGCTCCCAAACGCCTGTCCGACGAGGTGTTGAAAGATCGCATGCTGTCGGTGAAATTCAAACCTTATTGTTTGAAGAACATAAGGATCATAATATTGGTGAAGCTAGGCGCAATAAGGATCTAACACAAAGGTCGGATGCAAGTTATCCAGCACCTATTAGGACAATACAGTGAGTGTATCCAATTATAGCTCTGAGCATCTTCCTTGCCCACTTATGCTATGCTATCACCAATTTATTTAGATGAATCGTTTTCTGCATTCAGTGATGATGCATCCAATACAAGTAGCATAGATGAATAGTGTTAGCGGCTTCCATGGTGGTGTTTTCCATAGATATTTTAAAGAATAGCTGAATCTCTTGCAGACTGACGGACACTCATTGAGGCTGGCTGAATCTCTTCCTATGTGGGACCTTACAAAGCGATCTTTTCACGACTATCTTACAAATTGATCTTTTCCTGTAATCTTTTCAAGACTACCTTATGTTTTACAAGCTTGGCTACATACCACCTACAGGTACTAATGCCAAAGGTGTACGTGAGTGCGTTATTTGCAAGCACACAGAACGAAGAAACAGGAAGCGAAAATCTATCTGTACCCAGTGCAACAAGGGCGAAGTCGCACTGTGTACCATGGACTACTTCATTGATTATTACTCGCTTCTGAAATACTGAGTGTGTAATACAGTGTGTTACTGTGTAGTGTGTGAAACTGTACATATTGTAATTATAGTGAATTTTTAACATGTAATATTGCAACAATAAACATTTATTGTGGACACATTACTGACACATGTATCACAGTTCCATGAAACATTATGAACGTTCTACTGTATACATATTGTAAAGGACACAAACATGCATCATATACGATAAAAAAACAAATAAAACCGCATTGGAAATACATAGAACAAATAATTGAAAATATATCTGTGGCAACACCCAGTGCTTGAATGGCCCGCGCGACCGTGTCTGGGGGGAGTCACGCATGGCAACCAGGCCCTGATGACGTCACAGCACACCTTGTCCACATCCCCACAACCAAAGTAAGTGGAATTTGGTATTTATTTTTACATAAGACATGTTCAGGGAAGGTAATTTATCATTTTACACAGAAAAAAAAGAATTTTTTGGGAACGCTTTATATCATGCGCATAGAGGAAATTTCGCAATAAACTCAGTGCAGCACGTTGGTTAAAGATTTCAAATGACTTTTTTTTTTTTTATTGATAGTGTGACTGAAATCCAGAGAACAGAGCACTTTCCAACGAGTTCTTAATATTTAATGGATCCTACCTACTACAATAACAGTGTCTTCACTGCAAGATGCGTGCTTCACCTAAATTAAAACAAAATGATATTTAAAATGTCATGCTCCAAAGAAATGAGCAGACTGATGTTGTGAAGTAAGCAAAGTGTAGCGACTTCAATTCTTTCAATTTTTTTGCCAGATGGTGTAGGCTACTCAGTCGTTTTTCCTGACCACATCTATATGTGTCGCCTACCTTTAGAGACAAGCATCTTCACAGCGGAACTTTATGCTATTTTGTGTGCTCTTTGTCAATCTTCCTTTGTTGTTGTAGTTGATTCTCACAGTGCCCTCATGGCTCTGGAGTCCTCTAATCCAGTCCATCCTGTGGTAGTCGAAACTCAACATTGGCTGTTATCTCCAGTAGATTGAAGACAGTGGAGTTTTGCTGGGTTCCCAGCTATATTGGTGTCCTTAAATGAGCGTGCGAACGTTGCTGCTAAGGAGGCTATTGCACTTGTTCTATCTCCCATAAAGGTTTTCCTTATTATGATTTCTACTCGGATATTCATTCCTCAATCCTTGCCCGTTGGTCTTCTGTTCCTGGTAACAAACTGCATGCTCTTAAGGGTAGCGTTTCCCCATGGCCTTCCTCCTACCACTGAAACCAGTAGTGGGAAACGGCTCTGGTGAGGTTACGTATTGGCCAATACACGTTTAACTTGCGGGCATTTAATGGAGCGCCGCCCTGCTTCTTACTGTCCAAACTGCACTGTCCCTCTTATAGTCGTGCATATCCTTGTTGAATGTTCTTACTTCCAGGACGTGTGTGTGTCTTGCTGTTTCAACTATATGTGTGTCACTAACACAGTGCAAATATTGATGAACAACTTCTCAGGGGCTCAAATATTAGTGAGATTGATTGTGCAGTTTAAATTATTATACTGTTTTATTAGCCACAAGACTAGTGTACTGTATAGTCATTTAGGTACTCAATTTTCTGCTAACATTTATTATAATATTACAGTATATAGAAACTATTATAATTTGTAAATTTGAGTACAATACAGTATTTAAATGTGCAAAAATAGTTTTTATCATTTGCTGTAAGAAAAAGTAAAGCAAATTTCTGATAAAATATTCATAAATCCTTGTAATTTGTGAATTCACAATGGGACCAGAAAAATATGAATGAAATTTTGGAAGTGCCATTGCATATAAATATGATGCAGAAAAAAAAAGATAAAAAACCTGACTACACGAGTATTTCATTAAAGAGACTATAGCGTGAAGACCAACACCTAACCTATGTTCTGTACCGATAAACCAGTCCCTTCCAAGGTTAGCCCAGGTTAGCTTACAAATTAAACTTCTGATGCCTAATCCTCACCAAGCTTACACCAAGTAGCAACATTATCTGTAACTCGGTTATTAAGCATATAAAATATAAAGCATTAAATAAAATAAATAAATAAATAAATATATAATGTAAATTAAGCAGCCATGCAAATCAAAAATGCATATTAAAGACAATGTAATAATATATACTAACAGCAAAGTTCCTTTCATAAAAAAAAAAAATTTATAAAAATAAATACTTTACTGCCTATTAATTATCATGCTAAAAGCTGATCATGGCAGAAGATATTAGTAATTTCATCACTATTATACTACCTGGCTATGATACAATTACTGCATGTTTATCTGTCATCACTAACTTCGAGTGTCACAATGTCATAATTATTGATTTATAATGATGTTGTAAAAATTGGCAAGACTACTGACGGGAAAATGTAAAAGTAAGGGAAAGCAAACACACACAACTGGGAAAAGCATCATAATATACAACTATTCCTTTCATGCATCTTTTGCACAATTTAAGTTCATAAAATGCTGTACATGTACAGCATTCACAATATGACAGTACAGTACTAAATTGCACTACCTTTTGTTAATGATTTATGAAACTATAGCTAATTAAGCTTTTCATATCATATTTAAGAGATTGAATTCAGACGTCAATAAACAAGAAACGAACACATCCACCACACAAAACTGTCTTACCTGCCAATGTATCATCTTCAAAACATGCACATCTTGTTGACCAAACCACACACTAGAAAGTGAAGGGACGACAACGTTTTGGTCCGTCCTGGACCATTCTCAAGTCGATTGTGAGAATGACTCACACAATCGCTTGAAAATGGTCCAGGACGGACCTAAACGTCGTCGTCCCTTCACTTTCTAGTGTGTGGTTTGGTCAACATATTTCAGCCACGTTATTGTGACTCTTCGTCTGCACATGCACATCATCTTACTTTAGCCTCTGATTATGCTTTATAATACTATATCACTGAGACAAGCGATCTTTCACACACACAAATGGCCACTGCAGTATTGATAGCATTAAATAAAAAGCAGCTACATTTTTTGACTAACTATTTGCACTTTTACATACACTATAAACACTTTTTATCCAACTTTTTAGCATATACTGTAAAATGAGTTCTTTTTTCTGAACTAAGTTCAAAATAAAAACATAATTGGTGGCTGGTCAGCAAGCTATTGTGGAGGCACTACTATAGTTGATAGGCTCTGTCAAACACCAAGCAAATGATTTAACACCTAAAGTGCAATTATTGTCATAAGTTGATTCATTGGACTAATGCAGTTATCATACATTGATTTAAAATATAACTGTCCTTGTTTTACACAATGATGCTAATATGGATATAATAGCTCTATATGGATGTAGTAGAGTTAACCTTGACCATGAAAAAATAATAATCCTGTTGTCACTTCAAGTGCGGTTATTGGCACAAATGTTACCAATGCCAATGTGATAATTGTCATGGTATAAAATTTCATTATAATTACACAATATGTATACTGATTTATGATCACATGGTGTTCACAACTCAATATGGTTGTAATGAAGTGTACCTGGTCAACCAATCATCATTTGAACATATGTGATGAAGGAACTGCAGAAGGCCTATTGGCCCATACAAGACAGCTTCTATCCACCCTTACCCATTCATATTTGACTTACTGGCTCATATGAGGTCAATATATTATATCCGTGATATAAATAAAAGCTGGTTAGTTTAGGCTATGGTCAACGCCTATTTATATCCACTATATAAATAAGAGCTATGTTCTATGGACCAATTAGCATTAGTTCTCATGTTTTATGGATACATACATTCATAGTATAAAAACAAACGTCTAGACATCCAAAGTCAACACCGAGGTTCTCCTGGCTCGGCCACTGTGAATAACTGACATGAGATTTGGTGTTGACAACTGGGGCTAGGGGCCATTACACACTTTGTTCAGAGCACAAAATCACCTACAATGTAGATATTAAGTTATTTTTATATTTCTGTATATTTTGCATCCAAGTTAATCATTCTATAAGGAAACAAATATTTTTTCTTTTGTTTTTGCACATTGGCAGATGTGCATGTAAATCCATAGCCGCTTGTTAAAGAGGTTAATGACAATGAAAGCTCACTACTGACATGATCCATTATAAGATTTATATTGATTGAATTCAATAAATCAAATATAATCTACATTTTATTAGGTCATGAAAGTATCACTATCTAAGAAATCACGCAACTGGGACTGGTGAGTGGAGATATTAACACTGTTTCCCCTCAAGACAATAGCCTTTGACTAAAGGAATGTTCATACAAGGCTGGTCAGATATTAATGCCTCAAATTCTATGTTTACAGTTTCTCGTCAGGGGAATAAAATCATTTTCAGTTACAGCCTTTGAATTCGAAAAGCTACACAATACTGTACTAAGAAATATCTTTTAATTTGAGTACAAAATGGAGAATTCATAATACTTTTGAATAATTTTACCAACTAATTTTTGGAAATATCTGTCAAATAAAGTTTTTGGAACAGATGAAATATCAAATATGCAACACACATACAAAACACTTGCACATTGTACACTACAGAAAATTAATAATTGGCATAATAGGGCAGAATGTATTTTGCTGTGAGAGTCAAGATGCATTTCCCTTAATACCAACAGGGCAACCAAATGAGTTTTGTTTCAGTCTAATGGTCGTATTCAAGTGAAAAATGGAGACTTTGTTAATGATGAAGGAACCTTTGTAGGGTTTTAATTAGAGCTTTTGCACCTATATCTGCTATATTATACTTAAACCAATATCAAAGCTTGTGATAAAAACAGTGATTAGCAAATATTTAAATAAAAAATAACACACATTTCTGGGACCAATAGAATCTATCCAAGAATATTTAAAAAGCACTAAAGTAAATTTTGAAACCCATGAGTGTTTAAATAAACCACTCAACATTTCTAAATACCAAACTAATCTTCAACTCTTGCTGTGGCACTTATATTCTGGTCCCCCCCACAGAATGGATCTATATGGGGCTAAGGGATAAAATCTCAGATTTCAAACAAATTGTAAAAAAAAAAAATAATTTAATTTTTTTCAGTGACACTATTATAAAATACTGTACTAAAAACGTTATGGTGAATTTTTTTTATTTTAGTAAATAAAATACACAGTCTTCATTTCCTAATAGAAAATATGATAAAAGTAACTAAATACTCATCCATAAGTGCACTTGTGAAGCTAAGTCACTCAAGTAGAGCTTTGGGAGTAAAGAATATCGGTACTCATTTCCGATTTTGAATTTTTCAACACCGCTCATGTTCACGGTGATCCCTTACTCACTGTTCTCATATTATTTCAACACTTTCCATCATAAAATTTCTAAGAATCAATCGGTAAATATGTGGCAAAGAATTTGTCCTATTTAAAGAAAATTAAAATAAATATTAAACAAATGAAGGATGACTTTAGCATGACTATGAATGCAGTTTAAAAGGGAAGCAGCAGGAAGAAGAAAATGATGTGGAAAAAAGTAATACTGTATGTAAGAATGTGTTCAGTTTGAAAATATACGATGGGCTAACGTGATGCTGCTACACTGATTTATTTATTTATTTACTTTCGTTATTAAATTTTATGAATGGAAATACAGGAACCAACAGTAAGACCAAAGTTGGATTATGCTATATACAAAGTACATAAACCAGCATTAGACTTGCAAGGATGAAAATATTCAATCTACTAAAAGCACAATGAATTAAATTAACCATTAATCTAATGTGACCTTGGTTGAGAAAAAGATATTTGTTGTCTACTCTCTCACTTAAATCCTACTTCACATGAAGCAAACAAAAAGTGATGCTCCAAGAAGTGAAACACACAACTATTACTGAAATGAAACATCCACATTTTGTCTTCAAAACCAGAATTCATTCACCTACTATCAGTAATATAGCTCACCTGGTGGGATCTTGGTGCCAATGACTTCACCGTTGGTTCTGGCCTGTGGGGACACAGTGCCATTTACCTTCTTGTCTTCAAATTCAATCTCTTCGTAAGGACGGCCAGTTTCTTCCTTGTTAGTGGTAACGGGGCCAGAAATTGTGGGACGGCTGTTCAAGACGACAACATAAAACTGGTTACAACTTTAATCATTTTCACATTTAGAGATTTCAATACTAAATACCTTAACTGCCATTTTTGAAGAAAATACTTTGTGATTCTGAGAATAATTATTGATATATCAAGCTGAAAAAAGATCCATATTGGAAAGTTTGATTGGAAAAGATGTGCAGTATTTTATATAAAACAAAAAAATGAATAATGAATGCAAAAATATATGAAACTACAATGACAATTGAGCATTGCTAAAAGTGCACATACATTTTTAATCAAATTATATTTTAGCTCAAAGACAAAAGTATAAACACTAAACTGTTTTCTACATATTACCTAATTGTCAAGGAAATATAGCATAAGTAACCACTTAAAAATCATAATGATAATTTAAAATTAAAACTATTAATGTTTCAGAGTTGTTAAAACGAGTGTTATTTTATTGTCAAATTACTATCTATTCATACTAGTCATCTAGAAGGATGGAAAGCGACTAGGGTCTAAGTGTTTTATATTGCAGAATAAAACCAACCCCCAAAAAATGGGGCAGAGGAAGTTCCCTGGTACCAGTTAGGGAGGTTTCCAAACACCAGTTAAGGAGGTTCCTACACACAGGTTAGGGAAGTTCCCTGGTACCAGTTAGGGAGGTTTCCAAACACCAGTTAAGGAGGTTCCTACACACAGGTTAGGGAAGTTCCCTGGTACCAGTTAGGGAGGTTTCCAAACACCAGTTAAGGAGGTTCCTACACACAGGTTAGGAAAGTTCCCAGGCACCAGTTAACACTTTAGCATTCCAATGATATTAAAATGTGTGTATATATGTACAGTACTTCACCAGTAAATGTTCAGAGGACACTAAAACGCGTATACACCTCGGATTTTTCAAAAAATCACTTTTTAATTTTAAGATAGCGTATGCAGAACTTATGAAGGGACCAACCAAAGTATCAGGGGATGATAAAGAGATCACCTCGCCCAACCACCCATCACTCATGATGATAATTGCTCTGCATGCGAGTATTTTCACAATGCTTTCCAAATTACCCACTGGAAAAGTATGAAACTTATGTTTTTGTTTTCTTTTCACAGCAATATAGACGGATCATGCATGCACATTTCCATATTTTTAATTTTTATTTATGTTGAAAAATAAATGAGAAATGTTGAAATGTTCCTAAATATATGTATATTCAGTGCCATTGTGCATAATCTGTTATCAATACTTTTTTGTTATAATTTCTCTAGCAAATTTATTTGCATTCTGACATCAAATTTATATTTATAACCCAAACAATTACTTATAAAATGGAAAAAGAAATAAAAATTTTTAGAAGTCATCGAGGAGGACCTTGAGAGGCCCAGAATGTTTATGGTCAGACATCGAGTGACTGGCCGGTCAAAGTGTTACGGAAGGTCCTAGGCACCAGGTAGGAAGTAAAGGACTAGTTAAGCAAAAATGGAGGGATAAAGGTTGTCTATATCAGGTCAGAAGCCACAATTATATACGGGAAAGGAAACGACAATTCCCTAATATTTGATCCAGAGAAGAACAATGGTGAAATTCTTAGTTTTTTTTTTTTAGTTTGTATTTATGAAGAATGTTAAGTAGATATAATGTTTTATTCAATCAGTAGTTATACAAAATTGAAACATTAAATTTTGAAACTCGAGGACTGATATTTACGAAACCAATTCTCTGCCTTTCAGTCTCCAGTAAGTGAAACTGTCCTATATGTTTTTTTTTTTTTTTTAATGCAGTAATACTCATTTTTTCTATATATATTTTTTAACTCCCTATAATCTTTCACTAGTTGTTTATAGCATAATGTATATCTTTTCTTCTTTACTCTTATATAATACCTACTATACTTATGGTTCACACCTTAAGGTTTCCCATAGTTTTAGGGGCAGGAAACCATATAGGCTTATCCAGGTCCCTATAGGCCAATTACTAACCTTTCCCAGGATGCAACCCCATAACAGATTAACTCCCAGGAACCTATTTACTGCTGAGTGAACAAAGGAATCAACTGAAAGAAAACATGAGTAACCTCTATCCTGTTTGGCAATTGAACCCGGGACCTTCGGCAAGATTTCCAGGCACAACTGTCGGGCTTTTGATGAAATTGAACAATGTAAAGTCCCTAAGAAACCAAATAGTTTTGGGAACATCTGCCAATATTTAACCCATTCATAAACTTTAATAAATTAGAACAGTACTTGGCAATATTTCACACAGACACAGGCATTGATAAAAAAAAAATTACTACTATTTTTTACCCCATTCACCCCTTTCCCAATGTGAGGTGGTGTCAGCCTAGATGAAACAATATGGCTTGGAGAGTAGATAAACTTATGAACAAATTTACAAGGGCCGTGACGAGGATTCGAACCTGCGTCCGAGAGCATTCCAGACGCTGCCTTAATTGACTGAGCTACGACATAGTCAAAAGGAGTTGAAACCGAAGTTCTACTGAACTTACAACATGGGGGGAGTTGTGTAAAACCCTGGTTTGTGCCTTGGAGAGGCTGCAGGATCCAGTAAGTTCAGTAGAACTTCGGTTTCAACTCCTTTTGACCATGTCGTAGCTCAGTCGATTAAGGCAGCGTCTGGGATGCTCTCAGATGCAGGTTCGAATCCTCGTCACGGCCCTTGTGGATTTGTTCATTTGATGCATCACACAATTGTGATTTGTGTGTGTAGATAAACTTGTTTTAGAGCAGGGTGCTTGGTTGCCTCTTAGACATGTCCAGCAATTCTATGAGGCAAAGACACAAGCAAATCACATCCTGGCTAGGTCAACATATTTTCCTGTCATAGTGTGGCTCTTTTTTTCCAATGCCAGTCAAGCCCATTAGTGGGGGAAGGAAGACACTGACATTCAGCTTGGAATGACCTCTAGAAGGATCTTTGTACCTGGATGGGGCTCTGGGAGTTCTTCCGCTCTTCAAGCCTGGCCTGGGGCCAGGTTTCTTTTATGAGAGCTTGGTTCAACAGGCTGTTGCTTGGAACGGCCTGCAGGCCCACATATCCACCACAGCCCGGTTGGTCCGGTACTTCTTGCAGAAAACTGTCAGGTTTTTCTTGAAGACTTCCACTTTTGTTCTGGCAGTATTTCTTATACTTGCTGGGAGGATACTGAACAACTGAGGACCTCTGATGTTCATACAGTGTCCTCTGTGCCTATGGCACTTCTACTTTTCACTGGCTCTATTCTGCATTTTCTTCCATATCATTCACTCCAGTATGTTGTTATTGTACTGTGTAAATTTGAGACCTGGCCCTCTAGTACCTTCCATGCATAGTACTGTATATTATTCGACACCTTTCTCGTCTCCTTTTTAGGGAATACATTTGGACAGCTATCGGACAATCCCAATAATTTAAATGCTTTATTGGGTTATGTATGCTGTATATGTTCTCTGTATGCCCTTTGAGGGGAAAGTGAGTATTAAGCAGTACTCAAGGTGGGACAGTACCAGTAGTTTAAATAGTATGAGCACTGCGATGGGATCCCTGGATTTGAAGGTTCTTTTAATCAATCCAATTTTTTTTTTAGCTGGTGCTGTATTTGCTTGGCTGTGCTCTTTAAGCATTAAGTCATTAGACCATTACTCCCAGATCCTTTACATGTTGCTTCCCTACTATGGGCAGATTTGATCGTTTTGTAACCTGTATTTTGTTTAAGGTCTTCATTTTAACCATACCTAAGTACCTGGAATTTTTAGCAGTTAAACATAGTGGTATTTTCTACTGCCCAGTCAAAAAAATTATTATCAGCTTGTAGTTTTCAATGTCTTAAGTAGAAGTAATTTTCATGCTGATTTTTCTGTCATTTGCAAAAGATGACACGAAGCTGTGACTTGTATTTTTGTCTATATTTGATATGAGAATAAGGAAAAGCAGTGGTGCAAGGATTGTGCCCCGAGGTACAGAGCTTTTAACTGTGCTTGGACTCTATTTGATCTGGTTGACTGTTACTTTTTGCATTCAGTTTGACAGAAAACTAATTATCTATTGCCCTACTTTCCTACTGGCCTCATTTTGTGGGCTATCACTACATAAGTCACATTTATCAAATGCCTCTGCAAAGTCCATGTATACCACATCTGCAGTCTGTTTTTCTTCTAATGCATCGGTAATTTTGTCATAGTGGTCGAGTAGCTGCAAAGGAACAATCCTCTCGCTCTAAGTTCATGTTGATCTGAGTTAAGGAGATCATTGGACTGCCTAAAACTGGAGATCTGACTCCTGATCTCTCTCTCTCTCTCTCTCTCTCTCTCAAAAACTTTTATGTGGGATGTTAATGTGGCTGGTCTATAATTCTTAGCCAATCCTTTGCTCCCTCCCTTGTGTATGGGAGCAATGCCTGCTGATTCAAGTGCTTCTGGTATCTTCCCAGTGTCCAAGCTTTTTTTCCACACTACACTGAATGCTTGTGCTACTGGTACATTGCATTTCTTTATAAATATTGAATTCCATAAGTCTGGACCCGGGGCCGAGTGCATGGGCATGCTGTCAAGTTCTCTCTGCCAAAATCTGCACGGTTCATGTTGTTACCAATTATATTTTCAGATGTTTGGATCACGCATAAGAAGCTGTCTAGATCTTTCATTCAGCTACACTACAAAAAACTCCAAGGAAGACACTTTTAAGAGACTGCCAAGTACAGTAATGTTCTACTGTTAGTTGATTCTGAAGGGACAAATCATTGTGAAAACAGATGGCCAAGTGCCACACTAGCTATGCAGCCAGGGTATTTAAGATGTGCCAATGCTCTAAATCTCTTGGGCCCTATGCCAGCACAGTAAACAATGCCTCAAGAGTGATATGTATAGCTTCCACAGATCTTGTGCACAGGGTGTAAGTTCTTCCACTTGCAGGTGTTCTTCCACACCTACAGCATGGAAGAAACTTGAGAGAATCATGCCTTAATATATACAGTATATATAGTATGTAGGTTCAGGATCATTTGGAGTTGAGAATGATGAGCATCTGAAGACCCAAAGATGATGGATGGGTGGGTGGCAGAAAGAGCAAAGACCAAAATCAGATAGAACACCCTCTGAGAAGATGAGTTTATTATTGGCCAAGAATATAGGATTTGAGCTTGGACTGAGAATTGCCTGGAGAGGGAAGGGGGGGGGAGTTGTTGAGAGTAGATCAATGTTTCTTTGGAAGTCATCATAGGCTAGAGAGAGAAATCTCCAATAAGTATTTTCCTTCCATACTAATGGCTGGTAGAGGAATTTGAAAAGATCCATGCTGTGCTTCAGAGTGCTTGTCCACCTAGCCTGGCTACTGTTTTCACATATTTCTCTGTAAACATAGTCTTAGGGAGCATCTGAGAGTTATAGCTCTAAAACGGAAGAAACATGGGAAATCTGATAATATTTTACTTAGGCATGAGAATGGTGGATAAACTTGTGCATTACAATATTTTACCCTGCCGTAGTGTGAATAAAATTATACCGTAAATGGCAATAATTTACACTGCCTCTTGAAAGGATAAATTTATACCTAGTACTATTTTACCCATCCCATGAGCTTGCAAATTTATACTGTACCCTTACTGTACTTGACTACAAAAAATAAATCGACCAATACATCCTAAAACTGCAAATAAACGACAATCGATGATCAAGTCTATTGTTCCACCCCAAGTGTCCGGACACTTTTTATTAAGGAACTTCCACCAACATAAGCAAAGCATTATTAGGCATTAAAAGAGCAAAAAACCTCTTCTACCAACAAAATATTTACATTAACAAACTTGTCTTCATGGTAGAGCTCTTATTTAAATAATTCCAATAAAACAAATGTAATATAAGTTATATACAAGAATTTCTTTCAACTAAATTACAGGTATGCTGCTGATAAAAAAATTATTCTGCCCAATGAAGGCTTAGGTCTACTCGTCTGCTGCCAAACCTGAGCCAAAGCACCCAAAATAAGCCACCCAATGAAATTCAGCTGGAAATTACTTGTTGGTATCATGCTCGGAGTCAATAGGAGCACTCGGAGCAGAATCAGCATCGTTGGTTGGGCTTTCAAGTGGGAGTGGACTTGGAGGAGGGGTTGGAGTGCGCTCAACTGAATCCAGAATAGGTTTATAAGATTCCTTGTGTTCCAATGTGGCTGAGGAATCTTGGTTTTCCTCTGTGTTGGTTATATCCAGGGTGCCCTCGTTTCCCTCCAGTGACTGGAGCGAGTTGCCTCCCTCCTCTACGGCCCCACCATCATACCACCTGCGAACCATCGCCAACAACATGCACACTACTTCAAGTGTTCCATGGGACAAAGGTAAGATAATGCAAAGCCAACAGAAACTGAAGAATGCAAGGTATAGGAAATAAAGGACAGTCATCATAAAACGTTAAGAGGGAGTACGAAAGGTAAAGAAAGCAAAATTGGTGTATAAATAAAAACTTATAATATTAACATCGGTTAGAGAAAGGATTTGTGCTGAACCATCTTGCTATTTAGTAAAACATAAAATAGTTTTCCTTGGCCCTGATTATTGGTCATTCTGTGGTCTGGCTACAGTATAATATTTGTTAAACATTTTGTATGTAACAAAATTAAACTGGGATACTGTATTTGGAACTTTAAAGTAAGGAATTCAAAAACTGGGTGGAAAACAGGATTTGAAAGGTGATACAAAACTTAATGAAGAATAATGAAAGGTAAAGAAAACTAAAAGAGAATTAAGATATAAGAAAGGAAAGAGCAGGTACAAAAAACATCCCATGGAACACTTACACAGTTACTGCCAGGGCCAGAATTGTCAAATTTGGAATTTCACTTCCCATTCTCCAAAAATTGACTTGAACCTCAGAAGATGCAAGATAGCCAATAAGTGCTATACCAACCTAAATATAAATACCCACACACACACACACGAAATGAAAGTTATGATGTTCCGGTCCGTGCTGGACCCTAATCAAGTCGTGGGTTGGGTCATTTGTTTCAGCCACTTTATTGCAACATTCTCTGTAAGGTACCTGAAGGCAAGTGGCGAGTGTAATGTACCTGACAGTACGCAGATGAGGAGTCACAATAACGTGGCTGAAATATGCTGACCAAACCACACTAGAAAGTGAAGGGGCAACGACGTTTCGGTCTGTCCTGGACCATTCTCAAGTCGATTCTACCCGACAGTACCTTACACACACCAACACCATAGTGCACCAATACTGAATAACTACCCAAATATCTTTATTGTATTTACATTACCTACAAGACAGTTATACCACAGATATCAACACAGATGCAACACATCTACACAGTATGTTACTCAAGTGTGAGTAACATCTACTGTAGCAAATCTACTGTAGCAAAGATTTTATAGGAAATACTATTTGATTACTATTATTTTGTTATTACTATACCTATGATAAGCTTTTCATAATTATAAAATATTGTGCTATACATTTGCATATTCCTGAATATGGCAAAGATCTACAATAAAAACAACAATTTTTATCAGTAAAAATAAGTACACTAATACTGTAGCTTCAAACTAATATCTAATAACTACAGATCATTCCAGCATCAGCTTTACCTAAGAGGATAAATCACAAAATATGATTCCTTGAATACACTGATGCACATGAAGCACTATTAATCTACAGTAGTCAAATACTCCAATAATTTCTAATAAAACACAGTTAACAGCCAAAGAAAAATGTAAAAAGAATAAAACATGTGCAAATCCAACATTAATTAAACATCACTCGAGCAAATTTTGCCCGTTGGGAACACGCACACAAACCTATTTTGGTAAAATTCTTTGATGAATGCATAAAGTATATGGAACGGGAAAGACGATGCTGCTCAGGAAAATAAAGCAAGGTCTGAAACACTCGCCACACTCTAGGAAGAACCTCAACACTGACTCAATGTTTATACACAATACAAAGCAACATGCTGCCCCTAACTTATTCCAATCACAGAGTCACTGGTAGCTGAAATTCCAAATTAAACTGGCCCTGACAGGTTTAGCTAATGCTAATATGCATCACATTGACTTTTCTGCATTTAACATGAAAGGACAAAATTTGAACCTTGCCATAACTACTATTTTCCTTAAAAATTCATTTGGAGAAATTTATTTAACCTTCCACTTAAATCTTACATTTAACAAATCTAACTTTTTTCTGTATTGCATTTTAAGTATTCAAAGAAAATGAAAGCAAGATGAAAATTTTAAATAGCAACATTTGGTTATGTAATATTGAGGTCTTGTGCAGAAAAGTGATACCCTGGAAACTGGGAAAGACATGCAATTTAGTAAATGGAAACACAATATGACAGTCAACACCAAGAATATAATATATGGGAACGCAGACATGCTTAGGATATGCAGATGCCATTCCACTGAGAACTAGTTGTATCATTATGGGGCCTAAAGTCAAGACTTTGAATACAACCTTGCACCCACAAATATAAAACCTCAATCCAGTAGCACGCAACGTGTAAGGATTATTTTAGTAATTCAGTTTAATCCCAATGCTAAATCCAGAATCAGGATATTGGTTGGTGACAATTTTATTGAGTTAGAATTCAAACACACATACTGTAAAGGGAATTACTAACACTTGGGGTGTGGTGTTAATTTTTGATGGTTAAGAACTTTTCGAGTACATAAAGGCCTTTACAACTAGTTCCAGCCTAATGATATATTTAATGCTCAGGTTAAAAACTGCTAGTCTATTTGTAATGTCAACTGAGGTGCAAAGCACCAAAATATGACACATTTCAAAGTTAATAAAATAAATATAAGAAAACACTTAACTGGCCAATATTAAAATGCAACATCTGAATGCATTAATAACTAAAAAAATAAAAATTGGGTCAAATTATGGAACTCTTGAATAAGCACACATCTGCATGATCACTCAAGGACAAGGGGGCAGCTAAGAAATTGTACGACAGTGAAATAAGTTACCTGCCTCCTTGTCCAAATTTGTCACATTGCTAACTACAGTATAACAATCAGTATTATAATGCACAAGAAAAACATTTGTTTCTTGGATATCAGTTGTATCATAACTCACATGGACGGAGAGTTGATGGTCTTAGGGGAGACGGGTTCCACGACTGAGAGGGGACGGGGGGCCACTCCGCGCTTCACCTTGTAAGTTCCTTTGGCACATTCCTTTGATAGTTTCTCTGCAATAGCCTCTAGCTCCTTGGCAACCTAAACCATATAATTATACAATAACAAATCTCTAGCAGAATAAATCTAATTAAAACTGGAATAAAGTTTAAGGTTGGCCATTATCATGTCTAATAAAATTTTACTAATACAGTACTCATGTAAACAAATAGCCAAAAAATGTAATAATGAGTCTACTTATAATTGCTTTGTATAATAAATTTGACTTGCCAATCCATGATCTAAGAATTTAACCTTAGCCTATTTTTGGTAATACTGTATGTTTATAAGATGCCTCCACAGCCTAAGTATGCATTACAAATAAAGGAAGAGTACAGTATTAAATGCCTGTCTACCATTCATTTCAATCAAAACTGAGTTCCATCTGTCACTCCTAATATGGCAAACTTCATTTAAAGACTCTTAAAAAGGTAGTGTCAACACTAAATACAATAACAAAACACATTCACATACATATTACAGTATTATATTTGTACCAATTATCATTCAAAGCTGGCATCTACAATAAGTTAAGTGGTTAGCATATAATGAAATGAAATTAATGTAACCTTGCTAGACTCCGCCATGACAGTGGCTTCAGCAGCAAAGAGGGCCTGGAGGCTGGAAGAAACGTTGGGGATCCTCTGGTCGTACAGTGTTGGCAACTCGTCGTACAGCTCCTAAAGAAAACAATCATCAATAGCATGACATTTTAAAACTAAAACAGTGTTGAAAATGTGAACTGTACATCAACAATGCAAAGCATTCCCTCTTAATAATATTTTAACAAAATAATGTACTTACCTTTTTTTTTCAAATTTTAAATTGTATTTAATTTCACAAATGAAGAAATGCTAAAACATAATTACAACACAGTTCTGTATACATTAGGCCTAAATTAAAATACTATGCAAAAGTTGTTTGGTGCCCATATCTAAAAAAGCTTACAGGATATTACTACATGAAAAGTACAAACACACGCTACTAAACGGCACCCAGACCTAAACCACAAGAGCTAGCGGAGTTAAGTCAAGCTAAGAAACACTGAACAGTGGTAGAGGGGATGGAATAAATTATATTTGAGATTAGTGACTGCCAAACCATTGGAAACTTCAAGACATCCTATAACAAATATTACAGGGTAGACAAGACACCACAGTTCACATCATGTAAGTACAGTACACTTAGGTAATTACTGTACTGTACTGTACTCACTCTTTGTAAGTACAGTACTGTATTCACTCTTTATAAGTACAGTACTGTAGTTCAATTATTTTAAAGATTCATATTATATCACCTAACATTGAATGATGATAAAAATATGGGCAAAATGTGATGATTTTGTCATATCCATGGAAGTGTTAGTCAAAATAAATAAAATAATACCTTGTTTAAAGCCTCATATGTGACACGCGCAGTTTCTAGAGTATCTCGACTGCGAGCAATCTTGTATTCGTCTCGACGGCCAGCCCTCTGTAAATTCTCCAGCTGATGTCGCTGACTGTCATAGTCTACTAATTTACGCCCACGTTTATCAATCTTTTTCTGTGACAAAGAAGTATGAAATTTGAATAACAAATAGGGTTAAAGCAGAATAATCTTGAAGACATGATTTAAACACACAAAACTTAACTAAAGATGTAACTTACTAAGAAACATGAAAGGGATCTTCATCAAAGTTAGCATAAGATGTATAACATGATTACTACATACAAAATAGTAACAGGAATCAACAAAATAGATATAGAGGAATATTTTAAACCTGCATCTTTAAGAACAAGTAGTCATAGATTCAAGCTATGGAAACAAAGGTACTTGAAAAGATATAGGAAAGGGTAGATAGTTGCAACACGTGAGGTGGCGGTGGATAGCAAAATCGTCAATAGTGTCAAAGCGCCATGTGACAAAAATTACCGGGAAAACAGGACACCGTGAATAGAGCTCTCATCCTGTAACTACACTCAAGTAATTAAGTATATACCGTAAAAAACGACTACTTGTCTGATCAATGGGAATGCACTGAACAAATACTTGCTCACCACAAGGAGTATTGTATGAAGCAACACCATGCCAGTGCATGGCCTGAGCAATGACAAAATGAGCGAGTTGAGCAAGTGGCGGCAACACTCTTATCCTGTAACTACACTTAGGTAATTACGACCAAGTGACAGAACATTATGTAAAAAATATATAAATTTAAACAAATATTCATTCCCCTAAAGATGACACTAATAGGCACCTACTAATTCTGAGCAACAAATTTAAACTACACAAATTAGTTCTTCACATAACAAAATTGCAACATTTAAAAGATACAACTTTACAAGAGTAATTTTTAATTGAAACATTCAATTTTTGAGCAAAGGCTAAATTAAAAAATAACCCTTCAAATATTTATTCTATTTTAAGGTTGGAAAGTTTTTGTTCATAGCATATTATTAAATTCATTCATTAGCTGCCTCATCAGAGGATGACTTGGGGACTTCCTCAATGTATAATTCAAAAGCATTCTCATTCACTCAAGAAAGAGAATCTACTCTGGAAGAGTATTTTAAGAAAATTGAACATTATTTATGTACAGTACCTGAACAAGAAAGGTGGTATGGAAAAACAAGATAGTTGGATAAAGAATGTGAAAAGCAGGAAGAAACAAATGTAGAGATGCTGCAGAATGAGATGAATGTGATAAAACCAAGAGATATTAAGTGAATGGGTAAGTGGCCATTAGAAGAATGAGAACAGTGGTGAAGATGAGGAATATTGGAGTAGAGAAAAAAGATGGTTTATAAACAAATATGAACAGTTTATAATGTGTAAAAGGTTATGATTGTAGGGTCAATATTCTGTTCCCTCTTTCTCTTCTTAATTTTCACCTCTTTCAATGTCTTCTTCCCTTCATCACAATCTTTTACCTTCCCCTCGTCCTTCTCTTATAACTCATCCTTTCATTTATGCTTCACTTTCTTTACATTTTGTCCATATCAACATTCCTTCCACGTAATCCACCACTTCCTTCCCCTCCTGCTTACTCCACCTCTTGCCTCCCTCCCCACCTTACTTCACCCCTTTCTTGCCTTACCCCTTGCTTCCCCTCCCCACTTACTCCACCTCTTCCTTTCCCTGCCCTTTAATCCACCTCTTGCTTCCCATACCTTCCTTCCTCTCCCTTACTCCAACCCTTCCTCTCCCTTACTCCAACCCTACCTCTCCCTTACTCCAACCCTTCCTCTCCCTTACTCCAACCCTACCTCTCCCTTACTCCAACCCTACCTCTCCCTTACTCCAACCCTTCCTCTCCCTTACTCCAACCCTTCCTCTCCCTTACTCCAACCCTACCTCTCCCTTACTCCAACCCTACCTCTCCCTTACTCCAACCCTTCCTCTCCCTTACTCCAACCCTACCTCTCCCTTACTCCAACCCTTCCTCTCCCTTACTCCAACCCTACATTACTCTCCTCTTTACTCCACCCCTTTTCACAACGACCCTGAGAAGAATGCGGCAGTACTGTAAGTACATATATAAAATATGGCCCCAAACACACACAGAAGCTTCTCTCACACTGTCACATGGTCCCATTCCCCAATGCTCAGCCAGTGCTGCTCACTTTTAGCTGCTAGCATAGCATAGCACACTCTTCACTCACATGTAGGAATTTAGTGGCACCATGTGCCAAGTTTCGCACCTGGCCTGAGCACACTAGCACAGGTTGATGTCAAGTGATGGTTCTCAGGTTTGCTGTTGTCCATGGCAATTGTATGGTTTGATGTAGGACAATGGCAACTGGATAGTAAACTGTTGCACATGTAAATCACTGGCATATATCTGCAGTTTGTAATATCTCAGATTTCACCTGTATCCAAGATGAATCTGCATCTAAGTATGCATAGTACACATTGCAGTTAATGTCTATGCAAATGGTAGCATGCATTTCCCCTCAATGGATGAGGGAGCTAAACCTTACCCACACTTGGAGAATTGGAATCAAGGAGACAAAGACATGTAAAATATTCAGTGCAATTGTTCAACTGTATACAGAGGTCGTGTAGGATGTCACAGAACATGCCCCTTCAAAATGCAAGAAAAATCACAGTGAAAATGGAACAACAATTTAGTACCTTTGCCTTACCAAAGGACAGAAGTATAAAGACACAGGGATGGAAACTTGAGGCACAAAGAAGCTATAAGGATGTTAGGAATGACTCCTGTTTGTTCATTTGACTCCTGTTGTGTAAGAGAAGTGAGCCATTAGAATGTATGAGGAAAAGAGAGAGGCTAGATCTACTACAATAATATTAAGAAATATATATGACAAGAAATAAGAGGGTTGGGTTTCACTGCATTAGACAGCAGACAGCTTGTAAGGTAGAGCCAGTAGGCGACTCAGCAAGCATATTTAGACGAGATCACAAACCCCCGTGAAAAAGGCATAATGTACCAGCTTTGATTAAAACAGTAAGGACCCATTGCCTAGGAGAAGAAAATAGCTCTCATCAGCCTTGTTTCTTTTTTCTTCAACACACAGGATGCTTTTCTTCTAACACACACAGTTGTATTATATAAAGATTATTATATAAAATATGATTATAGATTATATATAATTACAATTATGTAATTAAATTAGATGAGGATGTCAAGTGGAATAATGGTAGGAGGAAGAGGATGGGTGCAGGAGGGAGAAAATGAATCAAACTAGGGGGAAAAGGAAAATATGGGGCAAGGAGAGAGAACAGGAAGGAGGGAAAGGAAAAGCTAAATGGGGAATGGGTGAGGAGACGAGAGAAAATTGGGAACAGGCAGATGAAAGAGGTGATGGTGAGTAGGAGACATTGGTGTGTGGGAGGACAGCGAGGAAGCTCAGGAGGAGGAAGAGAAGGTAGAAAAAAGAGAGACTTCAGTCACCCTGAACTCCGGGAACTGCTGCTGGTAGGCGGTGAGAGGGGTGAGAGTCTGGTCCTGGAGCTTGTGGCAGAAGTCAGTCCACAACATGTCGGAGTTTTGAGCCTGGGCATATAGCAGCTCATGGCCCACCCACTCCGGCTCGTAGACCTCCGCCAGTGTCTCGAACAAGCTCTTGCTGGCTCCGTGCAACGCTGAAACAATGAACACAGGTGTCACTGCTTATCTATAAGCACAATAAACATGACCCCTACTCCCTACCCATAAACACACCTATGCAGCCACATACATTACAATATACTGTACTTAATGAGCTAATCTTGCCAACACAGGAACTGATTTTGTAAGGCATAGAATAAAACAAACAAATGGCATTGCAGATATACCATTGTAAGGTAACAGCCTATGATAAGAAACTTGTATCTGATGTGTGGAAAGGATGTCCTTCATACTATTGTAACAAATTGCCTGTAGTAGCCAATATCGTTTACCATTATCGGAGATAGGAGGCCTGTTAAGCTTATTAAGGTCCCTTCAAAGTCAATGACCGACCTTCTCCAGGATGCAATCCACAACAGTTGCTTAACTCCTGGATACATATTTACTGCTTGGTGATGTGGCATCAAGTGAAAGGAAACGTGTCCAAACGTCTCGCCTTGCAAGGGATCGAACCCCAGACTGTGAACCGAATGCTCTCACCAGTGCACTACAGTAATAGATATTAAATACTAAAGCAAAAATATGCATTAACTTTTAACAGACAATACATATTTAAATTGGGAAATCAATATATTAAACCTCTTAACGCAAAAAAAGCTCACAAAATAAATTCACTTTACACTCTAACTCTCGAAATACTAACACACAAAGAGCAAATATTTTATCCCACAAGAGCAGTGCAATTCCACTAATAGCAAACTGTAGTAAGCAGTCCCTCAATCCCTTAACAACTGGATGGTTGAGGGGGGGGGGGGGGGTGTTCTCGGCCCGTTAGTACTGACCTCGCTGTGATCTTGGCACCAGTTCAATAACTTAAATGTTGCAACTATTTACTCCAGGTTCTTATCCACTGAGTGTAAAATGCTATAAAAGTATCAATTTGTTTTAGATGTGAGATTAAATAAATAAAATAAAAATAAATAAAATAAAATAAAATAAAAATAAAAATAAAAATTAAAATAAAATAAAAATAAAAATAAAAATAAAAATAAAAATAAAAATAAAAATTAAAATAAAAATAAAATAAAAATAAAAATAAAAAAAAATAAAAATTAAAATTAAAATTAAAATAAAAATAAAAATAAAAATTAAAATTAAAATTAAAATTAAAATAAAAATAAAAATAAAAATAAAATTAAAATTAAAATTAAAATTAAAATTAAAATTAAAATTAAAATTAAAATAAAAATAAAAATAAAAATAAAAATAAAAATAAAAATAAAAATAAAAATAAAAATAAAAATAAAAATAAAAATAAAAATAAAAATAAAAATAAAAATAAAAATTAAAATTAAAATTAAAATTAAAAATAAAATTAAAATTAAAAATAAAATAATAAAATAAAATAAAAATAAATAAATAAATAAATAAATAAATAAATAAATAAATAATAAATAAAGAGAGAGAGAGAGAGAGAGAGAGAGAGAGAGAGAGAGAGAGAGAGAGAGAGAGAGAGAGAGAGAGAGAGAGAGAGAGAGAGAGAGGGGGGGGGGGGGGGGGGGGGGGAGGGGGGGGGGGGGGGGGGGGGGGGGGGGGGGGGGGGGGGGGGGGGGGGGGGGGGGGGGGAGGGCTTTTACAAGTACCTGCTGTTGGGTAGGCCTATGCACAAGCTACTATCAAGAGCGACCTATTCAGTAGAGCAATTAAGAGATATGGTGTGGATGTGACACTGGTAGCTGCTTCATATGCCAGGAGGCCGGTACTGGCCAGACAGTATAGAGGAGAAGTGTGCCTGCACCACCTGCTTATACCAACATGTAGCGCCTGCTCACGTCGGTACAGGATAACGGTACAGGCTCAACGGCGCAGCATTATACACATGCACCCTAAAAGCACGCCAACGGTACAATACATGTACTGTACCCCTCTCCCACCCCCCCACACACGACAATGGTGCAACACGTGCACAGCCTAACCCCTTCCCCTCCAACAATACGCTAAAAGTACAACACATACACACACGATCCCACTTTCCCACATACGCCAAGGGGGGACACACGCACAGGCTAACCTCCCCACACCACACACACACACACCAACGGTACATGCACAACACCCCCCCCCCCTCTTCCAAACACAAGCCAACGGTGCAACACATTCATTACCCCCCTCCATACACGCCAATGCAAACCAACTTCCCCCACCCCTTCAATACACACACACACACACACACACACACACACACACACACACACACACACACACACACACACACACACACACACACACACACACACACACACTTGATAGGGATGAATACTCCTGTGGCCACACTGTGGGTCAAACGACGGTGTATTCAAATGATGCCTAGAGTCTGAGTTGTGAACAATGCACGAGTGTGTGTATAGGTCCAGCATGTGGAGTGCGACCGATGCGCTATGCAGAGGTCAATCACAGCTGTGATAATTATTATTTGCCGAGCTAAGCGCAATACAGCTTATCACTGCCATCGACGCTGTTAACATAACAGGAACACAGCGCGTTGTCTCACCTCCACCTTCCTCCTTCCCTCATGTGACGCCCTAGCTGGCGTTGTCAGGACCAGGGCGAGGATTTTTTGTACTTTTTTATTATTATTTTCTACCACAGGTAATGGTAGACGCGTTGGGGGTGACATGCCGCCGTGGAGACTGTTTGACTGATTGAGTAATGTTGTTTCTGGCACCGAAATAACGTGTTCAATGGCGTTAAATGCACTCAAATTACAATGAAATTAGTTATAAAATAGTATTTATTTTCACAGTGCCGTGTTTGCTCCAGAACACAGTCCCCTAACAGTTTTACAGCCAGGTCTTCAATAACTGCCCGAAACGCTATGCATGCTAGTTAGTGGCTTTACAAGAACGTAAATTCAACTTAATTTCTATGTTCTCTGTTAACCCCCCCCCCAATGTACCTTCTTGTATATAAATAAATAAATAAATAAATAAATAAATAAATAAATAAATAAATAAATAAATAACTGTTGGGTCAACAGAAGCGAATATTGAACAATACTGAACAATCGTCTCATCCTGTTCAAACTAAAAAAATAAAAAACAAAAGATCGAAGACATGAGTGACATGATGAACTTCCTGGTTCGACTGGTTATCTGCCCTAGCCACAAGAGTGGCTTCCCAGATCTTATACAAGTACGGGCTCGCCTTAGCCCGTGCTACTTGGAACATTTTGTTCCAAGTAGCGAATCTTAAACAACAACAACCCAGATCATACTCGACAACCTAGGTTAAATCACCGGGGGGGGGGGGGGGGCAGGACACACGGTTGACCATGTTTCCTTTCACCTGATGCCTCTGTTTACCTAGCAGTAAAATAGGTCCCAGGGAGTTGAGCAATTATTATGGGTTACATCCTTGTGGGAGAGTCAGTACAATATAACGTACGAGGAGTCTCGAAAATTCTATGACCAGTCTTAATTCTTGTCTCTGATAATGGGAATTATTATTATTATCATCATTATTTTTATTAAAGTGATGCTCGTCTCTCCTTAAGTTCAAGTATGTTTATTGAGACAAGAAAGAAATACATCTCAAAGGGATAGAGCAGCTTAGGCTATTTCTACCCGCCTTTTGTCTCTACCCCACGTCACGCCGAGCATGAGAAGGTGACAGAAGATGTTGCTCGACAAATCCGACATAGACAGAAGAGAGCGGAAGGTGTCGGGGGTGACACAAACGGGTGACACCAGTGCCGAGACAGGTGCGGCTGGCACCAGCACAGTGATTAGGGGAAGCCAGGGTGTTTATATCCTCGCCCACTACCTGCCACTCCCACCCGGCCGCCCATTACTGACTATCAAGCACTCGCTTCCTTCCCATCAGTTTATATCCACCCACACACACCCTGCTCTTCCTCGACCTTACCTACCCACCCCACACACACTCCCTGCTCTTCCTCGACCTTACCTACCCACCCCACACACTCCCTGCTCTTCCTCGACCTTACCTACCCACCCCACACACTTGCCTATTACATCACATCACAATATTATTGACTGATATTTAGCACTAGGTGGTACTTAATGTCCCAGTTGTGGCGGGAACGTGAGTCATGAATGTCCCAGTTGTGGCGGGAACGTGAGTCATGAATGTCCCAGTTGTGGCGGGAACGTGAGTCATGAATGTCCCAGTTGTGGCGGGAACGTGAGTCATGAATGTCCCAGTTGTGGCGGGAACGTGAGTCATGAATGTCCCAGTTGTGGCGGGAACGTGAGTCATGAATGTCCCAGTTGTGGCGGGAACGTGAGTCATGAATGTCCCAGTTGTGGCGGGAACGTGTCATGAATGTCCCAGTTGTTGGCGGGAAATCGAGTCAAGAGCCACAGGCTGTGCACTCAACGATACGAACTCTTAATTCCTTGTAACCGACCTCGCCCATGTGTCAATGACACATCATGACTGTTGAACGCATCTTAAGAGGTTCATCAGCAGCCTCTTCCTGTAGGTTTAAGACGCTGCCTGCCTAGCGACTTCCGTCATTCATCTGGCCATTAAAGACTTCCTTTGCTGTCACTTCAAACGACATTCGCGATACCTCTTCTTATTTGGTTGGGTTTCAGGCCTGTACTTTCAATATTATTTTCTTAGTTCTACTAATATTACATTATGGTCTATTTTGAGGATGAACCTATACACACACAGTGGTAAACCGCATACTGCTCTACACACCCTTTGGTAAACCTCATCGGGGAGTAGAAGAACTCCCGAGACGCACTCCAGGTATACTCCATGTATTCTTAGGCCTAGTATAGCATATTTGTGTACTATGTTAAGGCTGTGTTTGGATAACACATATATGTACTATGTCAGGATAGGCTGTCTCTGTGCGTGTGTGTGTCTGTCTGTCTGTCTCTGTGTGTGTCTGGAGGAAATGCGAACCAGTTTTTCTGCTGGCACAAATGCTGGCTGTAGCGTAAAGGAGGATTGATAGACAGGAAAGTGGACTAGACAGAGATAGATAGAGATAGACAGAGATCAGTAGTCAACATACCTCTGCAACATCTGAGGTAGTTAGCAACTTCTTTGTGTAGGCGGTTAGCGTTGGTCTGCTGTCTGTTGAAGTTGATCTCGTACTCGTCGAACACATCGTCCACCGTCCGGTCTGCCTTGCCCAGGTTCTGTAGGATCTGAAACAACACCACACGTGTCACTATACCTGCCTCTGCACTATCACCACCCCTCTCAAAGTCACCATTAATCATCTTCACCATAGTCACACCTTTTTACCTGTTGTATACCAGTGGTATACAAGTGAGAGTTTGGTCCAGCCTAGTGGACCAAACTCTCACAAGTCAAGCCTGTCCTCGGGCCGGGCTTGGGGAGTAGAAGAACTCCCAGAACCCCATCAACCAGGTATCAACCAGGTATCAACCAGGTTATCACACGTACCACCACCATTGTCACCATTACCAATCCCAGATTGTATTTACCATTGCCATTGCTACCATGCAGAAGATTACCACAACCGCCAATATCATTTGTTCCATCCACAACGGTACCAGCATTGCTACCATCGCCACCGCCATTGGTACCACCACCACTGGTACCATTGCCAACAGTACCACCATCGCCGCCACCACCAAAACCAGCACCGTTGCCCTCACAACCACCATTCTCACAACCACCACCAACTCTGCACCACAGCGCTCAAACAACGCCACAATACACTTCCCCTGAACACCATATAGCCATAGGAGGGGGGGGGCTATAATACTAAATAACTAGTCTGAATTAGAACTGAATTAGAAATTTAGAATTAGAAATAAATTATCTGAATTAGATTTTGAGTCTCATTAACTAAACCACACATAATATAAGCAATTAAGTAATCAAACCACTATTTATTAAATCCAACTGCTCCTGGGTTATGGAATAGGCTGCAGGGTGGTACGCTAATCACTAAGATATGAACACCCAGGATACTTTATCATTATTAATATTAAATAATGATCAATAATAATAATAGATTTATTGTGGGTTTGTAGCCCACATACCTTACATAGATAAATTAATACTCGGTGTTAATAGCGAACATATGCATCATTTTCCTCCCCCCCCCCTCCCTTCGTTAGCATGGACACTCCCCCCCACTCCATTTACACCCACAATACCCCCTCTTATCCCTCCACACACGCACACATAAGCAGGTGATTTGAATGAATGAGGTGATTTGGTAAAACACATAAGTATGTAAATATTTGCATGTAACAGCAACACTAAATTATTTAAATACATCACGTCACGTGTCCCCGGCCGTGAATGTCAACTAAGTCGGCCGCCCTCCTAGCGAAGGCCACCATCAACACCCGAGTCTAAACGACCCAATTCTTGACAACCTAACGCCTTGCAGGACATGAAATACCCAACACACACAAACTACCCCAAACCACAACAACAACTACACCAAACTACAGTGGTAGTACCTGCTTGATGGGGTTCTGGGAGTTCTTCTACTCCCCAAGCCCGGCCCGAGGCCCGGCTCGACTTGTGAGAGTTTGGTCCACCGACTATTACAGTGGTAATAGTCGGCCCACTATTACCTTTTAGTCCTATTATACATATTCACCTCGTCTCCTACGTCCTCCTCCCAGAGTATAGGAAAAAAATGTATAAAAACACATCCGTATGAGTCCAAGTTGTTCCCCGTTGCCAAATAGAGGATTCAAGGTACGGCATTATTTTGTAAACAAGACTGCCGAGGGGGGGGGGGGTAGGTTGGCGGGAACAAGCCAGCAGACATCAGCAGAGGAAAGGTGCGACGTCCCACACATCAGTGACTTCAAGCACATCAACTGGGTCGTTGTCGGGACCTTCGCCCAGATAGGAATATTCGGCTAGTTTATTGTGCACCCCATCAGCGGTAGCGTCTTGTGAGCGGTAGCGCAAAAAAAGGATTATATTGGGCACAAAAGGTCGCTATCAGACCTCAACGGAGATTATTACATTTAACAATTACATCTCTCCTGCACACCTTATAATTATACTGTCAGCAAGTTACAAAGAATATTCCATTTCAATAGTTATGTATTTACAGTTAATCATTATACATTAATGATAGGTCTTTTCGCCAATATAGATAATTGTTTTAGCGGTGGAGATATTACAGTCATAGGTGAGCTGCTATTTATTGTTATTAATCATCATAAACCTCGAGACCTGGTCAGAGACCGGGCCACGAAGACGTTGATCCCAGAAATCAAGGAAAGGTAACTGCAAGGTACACTACTAGCCTCTTAATCTCGTAAGTCATTTATCTTCTGGAAGGGAAATATGGGCATACACCCCGTCCGGAGGCCTGGTGATCCCCTGCCCTGCAGGTCTCACCTCTCCCAGCACTTTCTCGAACTCACTTGACACCACTGAGCTGAGGCGTCGCTCACTCACCCACTCACTCACTCACTCACACATACACACACACACATACACACACACACAGGGTAGATAAAGACAGACTATTTACCACAAGGGGCACACGCACTAGGGGACAAAGGTAGAAATTGAGTGCCAAATGAGCCATAGAGACGTTAGAAAGAATTTTTCAGTGTCAGTAGTAGACAAATGGAATACATTAGGCAGTGATGTGGTGGAGGCTGACTCCATATACGGCTTCAAGTGTAGATATGATAAGAGCCCAGTAGGCTCAGGAACCTGTACATTAGTTGATTGACACAGTTGAGAAGCGGGACTCAAAGAGCCAGAGCTCAACCCCCGCAAGCACAACTAGGTGAGTACACACACACACACACACACACACACACACACACACACACACACACACACACACACACACACACACACACACACTGCAAGGCAAGGCTTCCCACAGAGACGTTAGAAGGAACTTTTTCAGTGTCAGAGTAGTTAACGGATGGAATGCATTAGGCAGTGATGTGGTGGAGGCTGACTCCATACACAGTTTTAAATGTAGATATGATGGAGCCCAGTAGGCTCAGGAATCTGTACACCAGTTGATTGACAGTTGAGAGGCGGAGAGCCTCTCAACCCCCGCAAGCACAAATAGGTGAGTACAAATAGGTGAGTACACACACACACACACACACACTTACTCGGTACCTCCATGTTGGCGTTACGTGGAGAGAACACCACACAGCTAACATACTTCCTCACTCACACATCAAGATCTGAAGCTCAACAACCCTCCCCCCACCCCCCTGCAAGCACTACTAGGTACATACACTTCTCTCTTGCCAGGATTTCTTCCTTCCCCCCTCCCTCTCTCCATCCTTCCTCTCCTCCCTCCTCAAGCACACGTATGCAAGCATATACACAGGACAGAACATTACTTCTTAAGGGGCGCAACATAAAACCTCTTGGAAGCGTCCCCTGCGACCCGGAACACTGCAGAGGACGCTGCAGTCATCCATGTCTTGCCCTCAACCTTCACCATAAATATGAGAGTAGGAGTTCCTTCGTGTCCACGCGCGCATACGCGTTGATTGACAGTTGAGAGGCGGGACCAAAGAGCCAGAGCTCAACCCCCCACAAGCCCAACTTGGTAAGTACTACTAAGTACACCCCCCCCCCCACCCACAAGTCGCTGAACTATATGTTTAACATTTCCTTAACCCTGTCCATGGAGGCCAGAAGAAAATGTATACATGCTGGTTAGCATTGTAAATGTCTGGCCACGTCTGTGGTAGAGCAAAAGAAAAAAATGACCAAGTGAAACACTTGGAAAATAACTGGCTTGACTCCAAGTGGATATTAATTTCGGTCCAGGAGTTTCTAAAGATGTCCGCTGATTCCATCTTATCTCACAGTAAAGTCAATACATTTTTTTATAGCAAATCACAAATAAAAATTATGCCATTTTCATCAGTGACATAATTTATCCTAAAATACATATCGAGCCTATAGTAGATTCCTCTATCAGTTTCTTTTTCATTTTGTTTACAAGCATGACGACATTTAAGCCATAAGGACCAATCATTAACAGACATACACACAGAAATCACATGATCGTGAAATATCAATGAGGAAAAAAATCACGATAATATCATAATTATCACTATAATAATTATCACTGGACGACAGCCAGAGTGCATGGGGTGGCTTGTGTGACACCCAGGGTGGGCTCGGGAATCCTAGTGGGTGCAGTAGTAACCCCAGGTTACAATTCTTTTGACCATGTCGTAGTCGTAGTCGTTCATCTGGGAATACCCAGCGTATAGGTTCGAATCCTCGTCACGGCTCCTATGGAGTTTCTCACTAACAGATATGTAAATATTGTAAATATATGCCTGTTTTTACAGGCCTACTACTGCCCAGGGCTAGGGCCAAACTACAATACAATCACAGTAACCATTAAAGTAGCAAAATGTTGAGTAATGAGAGAATGGAGTAGCTGAGGTAAGGGGAGGGGTAGCTGAGGAAGGGGGAGGAAGGGGTAGCTGAGGAAGGAGGAGGAAAGGGGTAGCTGAGGAAGGGGGAGGAAAGGGGTAGCTGAGGAAGGGGGGAGGAAAGGGGTAGCTGAGGAAGGGGGAGGAAAGGGGTAGCTGAGGAAGGGGGGAGGAAAGGGGTAGCTGAGGAAGGGGGGAGGAAGAGTGTGGGAGGGGAGGTGGGAGAGGCTGACCTTGTGGAGGTGGGTGGAGGGCGCCACTCCACACATACTCCGCCCTTTAATTCACAAAAATAACAGCTCCAGCATTCTGCCACACTGCCTTCCTTCAGCCCAACACCACTACAATATTTTATTACTACTAGCTAGCTGCTGCAGCCGAGGAGTCACAATAACGTGGCTGAAATACGTTGACCAGACCACACACTAGAAAGTGAAGGGACGACGACGTTTCGGTCCGTCCTGGACCATTCTCAAGTCGATTGTGCTAGCTGCTCCTACTCCGTCACTACTCGTCCTAATATATGTAAACAGTTTACCCGAGGGATCGTAGCCGGGTTGATAGGATCAACCAGGCTGTGATACATACGTCAGGCTGCGAGCAGCCGCGTCCAACAGCCAGGTTGACCAGTCCAGCAACGAGGAGGCCTGGTCAAGGACCGGGCCGCGGGGACGATATGCCCTGAAACCATCACAAGGTAACCTCATACGTCAGGCTGCGAGTAGCCGTGTCCAACAGCCAGGTTGACCAGTCCAGCAACGAAGAGG